AGGGGAATGGGAGAGGGAGAAGCAGGCTTCCCACTGAGCAGGGAGCCTGATGTGGGGCTCGATCCCAGGACCCTGGGATCATGACTTGAGCTGATGGCAGATACTTAACTGCTGAGCCACCCAGGCACCCCGGTAGGTTGTATATTTCCAAGAATTTATCCGTTTCTTGAAGGTTGTCCAGTTTGTTGGCATATAATTGTTCATAGTATTCTTTTACGGTCTTTTGGATTTCTGTGGTATTAGTTGTAATGTCTCCTCTTTCATTTCTGATTTTATTTGATTCTTTTCTCCCCTGCCCCCTTTTTTTTTTTGGTGAGTCTGGCTAAAGGTTTCTTAATTTTTGTTTATCCTTTCAAAAGAAAGTCAGCTCTTAGTTTGATCTTTTTTTATTGTATTTTTAGTCTGTTTATTTCTAATATTTGTTTTTTTCCATCTCTCTACTTACTTTGGGTTTTGTTTGCTCTTTTTCTAGCTAGGGTGTAAAGGTAGGTTGTTTGAGATCTTTTTTTGTTTCTTGATGTGCAGGCACTTATCGATATGAATCTTAGAACTGCTTTTGTGGCATCCCATAAATTTTGGTATGCTGTATTTTCAATTTAATTTGTTTCAAAGTAGTTCTTTTGGTTCTCTTTGATTTCTTTTTTGTTGCATGGCTGCTAACATTGTATTATGTTTTGGTTCTCCAAAATCTATGTCCTTTTTTTTTCCTTATGAAGCCCTCAGATAGTTGTTCTTTGTATTTTATTGAGAGATTGTAGATGTTTGTGGATAGATTTTTTTTTTTTTTTTTAGGTGCATAGTCCTTGATACCAGAAGTCACTGTTTCTTAAATTGGGAACTTCATAGAATTAAGTAGATTTAGAGGAAAAAATCATCGAAGTCAGAAGTGGTTAAGAAAAAATTTGTGGAGTAAGTATTTAGCTAAGTTTTACAAATAGGCTTATGTTCTTATATGAAACATTTAGTCAACTGCCTAATTTTTGTATTTCATTAGAGTAAATAGAGGTGTATAGTTTCTGTAATGAGCCATATGGAAATGAAATTTCTGCTTATGGTATTTACTAGTTATAAAGTAAATAGTGGCTTATAGCAATAGAATATAGATAGTGTTTTCTATTTTAGCAGTTACAGCTCTAATTTTATGTGTTTTCATGATTTATTATGATAAATAATAAAATGTTTCATGAATACCTACACACATAGTTCCTAAAACTCATTCAGTATTTCTGAGCAGTATTTTTCTAACTATAGATAGCCTGAAATATTAGTGGTTTAGTGGGTAATGAAATCAGTTTAGAGGGTTTTTCAAGTAGCATTTTCAAAATGAAACATAATAAAGCTTGTTAAAGAACATGGCTCCAGGTAAAAATTTTTCTGTGGAACTTTGGGATATGTTTATCAGTTTGCAACATAAAAAGTATTTCTTGCTGTATTGTATGGTCCAAACAGTGGCTACTGTTTTGGAGCACCCCACTAGTTAAAATCTGGTATAAAACTTTACATTTTCTTTTTCCATTTAAAGGGGTTAATATAATCATAATTTTCGCTGATTTTCTAAGAGCTTAGAATTTTGGTTTACTTTTACTTATGAGAATTTAAGCTTATGTTGAGGTCATTACATGGAAATATGAGATAGAATGAAGTGATATATATATATATGTATTTTTTTTAAGTCATTGTATTTTCAACTGACATCTTAGTAACATCAGGTAAGAAGTAATGTTAGTGAGATGTATAAAAACTATCATTTAAACAGTTTGGCTTGGGTTGAAAAACATTAAAAATATCAGTGTCTTATTTTTCTTGTGTTTTATGTTATTTTGGTGACATTTAAATCTAGGATGTTGATTAAGATATAAGGACTCTGAGATTTAAATCTGTACGAAATAAGAAAAATATTAAAATGGTTCCTGGTATTTTAATATACAAGTGTCTGCTGTACACAAGGCAAAATTTTATTTTAAATAGAAGCAAATATAGTCAAGCTAATAAAAGTCAGAATTCTATACTAGATTTTCTTGTTTTATATGTAATTAAAATATTGATCACCATTGCATTTGTTTCTTAGTTATGAGTTGCCAAGGAATAATGATTCGATAGTATACTATACAATTTTCACCTATGCGGTGGGATTTTGCTAACTCATATTTCTATTACTAGTGCCAATTAGAGACACAGCCAGTAATATAGTGGTATGTTATAAACAATTTAAGGAATTACTTCTTTCTCTGCTTTTCTTTCTTTTTTTAGGACATTTATGTTTTTGAAGCGTATGTGTCACTTATTTTTCATGATGTTCCTCAATTTTTCTTTTTCTTTTGTTTCTTCATAATCAAATTCAGGTTATGATTTCTCGGCTAAAAAGGTACACAAATGGTGTTGTGGTCTTGTATCACAGCTAGAGACACATGATGTTTGCCGCTTTTGGGCGATACTAATTTTGATCTCTGGTTAAGATCTTTGTTTTCTTCGCTGCATAATGACTATTTTTGTTTTGTAACTAACAAGCAGTTGTGGGTGGAAACTTTGTGACTGCATTTCAAACCAAACTTTCCCCACCTAGATTTAGTGTCTGTTAATGATTTTTAATTGAATCAATTTCTTAGAATTTTTTATTTTGATTTTTATGTAATTTTAAACAGAGAAAAATTGCAATAATAATATAAGGAACTTTTATATATTCTTTGTTTCCAATTCACCAATTACTTACATTTTACCCATTTAAGCTGTAAAATGAGTATGAGTCCCTGTCTCAAGTAGTGTTGATTTTCTTTGTCTCCTAGTTTCACTGAAAAGGGTTTATTTGTTTTCTTCTTATTATTACTGTGTGTAGTTGTAAAGTATTTTTTTATAATTCTAGTTCTTTCTGTATTCCCTCTTCATTTAAGGTTTCTGAATACTGATCATTTTCTGAGAAATTTTATGTGTGGGTGTGGGTATGTGCACATAATACATATGAACTTAGCAATTCTATTTACTTTTTAAATTGCTCTTTAAAATGGGCATGGGACAAATATTTTTCAGTCACAAAGTTCCATAGAAAAGGCTCTGGAATTTAAGAAAGCCAACCCACCAACTCTTTTAGTCGTGACTCTTAAAAATTACCTTTCCTTGTGAGTATTCTTTGATTCATTTCAGTTCAGTTCGGTTCAGTTCAATTCAATTCAACAGATATAGAGTGTCTACTGTATCTAAAAGATACTGTAGAAAAAATCAGGTATTAAAAAGCCTTTCATTTATAATGCTTTGCAGTTTCCAAAACACCTTTGAATACACATTTTCTTCATTGTTATTACCAATAACTCAGGAAAGTAGATAGTTCAGATAGATTTATTCCCATTTAATATGAAGAAATTGAGGTCTTGAAAGATGGTGACTTAACCGTGGTCCCTTAGCTAGTGAGTGACAGCTGAAGCATGAACCAAAGCATAAGCTCAGGGCTCTTGTAGATTTTCCTTTACCACTTTTATGCAATGACAAAGGCTACATTAATTTATGCAAATTCCTGGCCACAACGAGGGTGTGTTTTTATTTAGTCACTTAATATTTATTTTAAGTGCTTCAAGGGCTGGGATAGGACAGTAAAATAAGACCAAGACAGTATCTCATAGGTTCATATGAGTAAGGTGCTTTTCAATTAAGGCAGTGACCTGTATCAAAATGCTTGGAGTGGTTACGGCATGCTTTTTCTTGTTTCATTGGTGGGTCTGTTGCACATGACCGTTGGAAGTAGTGGTGGGCTGGGATTAGAGACTCTGATTACTGTGATCCATGAGTCAGATCGGTATGCTCAGGATCTTTACTTAACATGCACCATCAAATTGATATTTTCCTTATGGCATTGTGGGTTATGTCCATGCAACATCTTCCCTCTTTTTACCCATTACCCCTTAAAGGGTCAGTGCCAGAAAGAACAGTACTGTATCTTTATTTTCTCATCACATCCTCTCTCGAATAGATCTTACTTTCATGGCTGTCTTTCCAATTTGGCTCTGAGTCACTGCTGTGATTCTAGCTGTTGAACAGTCTTTCAAGTTAGCAGTTAGCATTCTGGTTAAGTAAAAATTATCATGAGGCTGCCATTCTTAGCAGTGTAGCTAGGGTAGTTTTATTAAATCAGTTATTAGGGCCCTGTTGTCAGAGGCATGTAACAGTTGCATGTCACAGTCCTCCCTAAATATTGATACTTGAGATTTACTGGAAATTAAATCTAAAACTTTACTTCTAGTTCTGAGGTTAGAGGAACCAATTGTCTGTCAAGTTCAATAAAGCCACATTTGTGCTGTTTAATATTTTAAAAGAAAAACTGTTGTAGTCCGTCTTTACTATTTTTGCCTTACCTGATTAAATTTTGCTGTTGTGTTAATTAATAAGTTCAAAGGAAATGTTCTAATTAATTTCTGTCATAACTGGGAACCATAATAAGTTAGAGTACTTTGGAAAGCATGATAACACCTGCTCACTAGTAAATATCAATTCTTTGTCTGGCTCTTTTCCAGTCCTACTGTGTCTTAATGTGTGAACCTCTTACCATCTGGGTACTTCAATTTTCCTCTAAATTTAAACAAACAAAAAGTCTTACCTATATTCTACCTAATACAGTTTTGAAAGATAATGGGAGGTCATTGAAGTGCTAGTTAAAATCTCTATTTAAAAATCGTTGGCTTTAAATGTATACTATCTTTAAAAAGTAATTTACTACTTAAAAGCCATTGACTCTTTTAGTGTACTTCATTGCTTAGTTTAAGACCTCTATTTTTAGAATACAGTGTATTTGAAGACCAAGCTTTATTGTTGAATTTGACAGGCATGGCACAAGGCCAGTGTAATGAGCCCAAAGGGAGAATTTGCAGAATATGCAGGTTGAAGGAGCCCCGGGACTGACTTTCCACTAAGTCTAGGCTATCCATGTTCATTCCCGTGGATGGGAGATTTGCTTAAAGTTGACTGCTGTCTTCCTTCTGTACCATCTGATTCCAATCTGCACTTGTCTTTTATAGCTCGAGACGGTCGGATGGCAGCTTAACCTTCAGATGGCTCACTCTGCTCAAGCGAAACTGAAATCTCCTCAGGCTGTATTACAGCTAGGAGTGAGCAATGAAGATTCAAAGGTAAGAACTGGTATCTCATTGAAATGTATATGTTGTTTACTAGGTCTTGTACTTTATTGTTAGCAGGGTCTTTGCCCTCTGGATTGAAAATCTAAACACAATTAAATAAGGATTAATGAATTGTCAGCTCTTTATTTGTGACAGTTTTTGATATCAGACTGATTTATCACTTTATTATTCATTTGAAGAAATGTCTTGCAGGGTACCTTTCTTGCAAGAGCTTTTCATAATGTCTCCTTTTAAATTCTGCAATGGGAAGACTTGGTAATGCCAGATAAAAGTCAGATATTTAATGATTCAGATATCTGTGGATATTTCTGGGTGTTTTAAGCTGCATACATATGGTGGAGGGAATACTGTTGTCTAGCCAATGCCTAGATTATGAAGGTAACATGAGTTGTATTTGTGTGTGTGTGTCTCTGTGTGTGTGTATAGCACTTGTGTGCATGTGTTTAAATCCCAATTCTTGCAAAATAGAATTTTGGATTCATTTTTTACCTCATGGTGATTTCTCCTTTAGTGTTAATTTCAGGAAGCTTGAACATGTTATCAAGTTTAAAGAATTGGCGTGAAGTATTTTCTTTACTGTAGCATATAGAGAAACATATATTTGAGATATCAATAAAAGCTGTTTGTTGTATTTTTGTTGTAATTGATTATGTTTCTAAGATAGATAAAGGGGAGTGACTTTTCCCCCTAAATGAGGAGACTTTGCTTCATTTTAAGACAAATAAAATAGAGGTGAGAATGAGGTAGGAAGATCTGAGGAAGGAGAGATTACTATGCCTGGATGTGATCAGAGAAGGACACGAGAATGTTCTTGGTTATGATGGGCATTGAAGGATGGGAGTATTATTACTTCTTTGTTAGAACTTTCATTATGTAGTATATCATGCACATTTTTGTCTTCCGTAAGAACTGGGGCCAATACCTAGCCCACATTCCATGTCTGTAAAATTTTAGGCAATTGTGTTGGGTCTCACTGCCTATAATTTATTCATTCATTGCAGTGTTTCAGAAGTATTTCATTTCCCACATTTTATATTTATATTATATTTAATAAATATATATAAATAAATATATAAATAATATGTAAAATAATATAAATTTAGTGGTTAAGAGTTGAACTGACTGGTGTATATATATTCTGGAATTTAGTAGCAGTGTAGCTTGGGGCAATTTACTTAATTAATCTTTATGAGTCTCAGTTTCTTCACCTGTAAAATGGGGATAATATTACCTGTCTCACAGGGTTTATATGAAGAGTAGATGGCCAGTGTAGGGAGTGCTTAGTTCAATGCCTAGTATTAGGTAAATGCTCAAAAATGCAGGGTGCTACCACCACCACCACCACCATCATCATTGATAAAATGTTTTTTGGCCATTGAATAAATAAATGTCTTTGTTTTGAACTACAGCTGACTTTAAACTTTTTTACTGATGGAGTTAACCTTTTCCCTTTCTTTGCCTTCTTCCCCTCTTTTATTTCTTGATTATGTTTTTCATATTTAGGCTAACTGGGAATTGGGGAGGCAAAGGACAGCCTGGAAAGTCCTTTTTTTCTTCCCATGAACTAGGTGGGGAAGGCAATCCTTTAGGTTTAGGATAATAATCTGGAACTCCCTGGTGTAGACTGGGCCTATTCTGAGTGAAGACACCCGTATGTACCTGGGTACGTTGTACATACATACACACGTGCATACATTCTCTAAGGGGCCATACCCTTTGACTGCTGCATTTCACCGTATGTTACGTCTGAGTAGCTAAATGCAATTTATAGGTGGGACGGATACTATTTTGACCATATATTGGATATACTTTAAGTATCGTGGTTTAGGCAATGCTTGACTTTGGGATGCATGACTCCTCCCAGCTCCTTTATTATGTCTTCAAAATATGTTTATATGTCAGTTATATTTTTATTTTATTTTATTTTTTTTAAAGATTTTATTCATTTGAGAGAGAGAGAATGAGAGATAGAGAGCATGAGACGGAAGAGGGTCAGAGGGAGAAGCAGACTCCCTGCTGAGCAGGGAGCCCGATGCGGGACTCGATCCCGGGACTCCAGGATCATGACCTGAGCCGAAGGCAGTCGCTTAACCAACTGAGCCACCCAGGTGCCCTGTCAGTTATATTTTTAGGCAGTAGGAGGGAATGAGTAATGCTTCTAGTAAAAGAGTCATGTTTTTAATTCATATTATTCAGAAAATCTCTACAGATGTAAAATTCAACTCATTGGAGATAGAAGCTTGAGTACATTAGATTTTCCTGCGCATTGCTAGTTTGAAATTTTGAATGAACTTTTGGTTATCCTTACAACTTGTAGAGCTGGAGAACCATTTTCATCAGCAAACAGACCCTTGGGAAGAAGAGCAGCACCACACAAAAGCAGAGGATACTTTCGGGGCGCCTGGGTGGCTCAGTTGGTTAAGCGTCTGCCTTTTGCTCAGGTCATGATCCCAGGGACCTGGGATCGAGCCCCATGTCAGGCTCCTTGCTCAGCAGGGAATCTACTTCTCCCTCTCCCTCTGTGCTCTCTCTTGCTCACTCTCAAATAAATAAATAAATAAAATCTTAAAAAAAATAAAGGATATTTTCATTTTGTGTGCAGACTTAAGTCAACCTCTTTGTCTGTATGGCTTATTTTCCCTATAGCAGTGTGGGGATTTGGCCCCTGTTTGTTATGTCTGCTAAACCGGAGATACTTAATGAAGTGTCTGCCCCCTGTCAGCCTGGACAGACACTTGCCATCTCCAAGTGATGTGTGTCCTAGCTCTAAGGACTAGCTCTAAGGTTGACTACCACACCCCTGTTCTTTCATTTAGCTGCTGCTGGGAAGCATACTTTTTTTTTTTTTTTTAAATATTCTCTCTTTTTGTATGATCGTGTACTCTATTCTTTGTACTTGAATGAGAGTTTGGGAATTCTTGACAGGTTGAAATATTAGGTGAAAGGAATGGGAATATGGAGCATGTTTTAAAAACCAAGTTTGTTAAAAGAAAGCAGAGCTTTTATTCAAAGAACCATGAAAAGCTAAGTGGTTAATTTATGATGCGAAGTATCTTAGAATACAGTTGCCATATGATGAAATTGGCATTCGTTTAAAACAGGAAGCATTAAATAAAATTCTCTTAAGTGTATGTGACACAGGGCAGTTATCCTGAAAATATACATGCATTAAAATAATTCTGAGAGAATTAGTTAGTAAATATGAGAGAGACTATTTTTGGTGGTGTTTATTTTTGAGCTGCTGAACTGAAAACTTCCTGTAATTCACCAAAGTTTGTGGTTTCTAAAAATCTTTCTTCTCATTCACTTCCAACATACACATGAAAAGTGTAGCCTGCAGTGAAGTTTTAATTGCTATCACATTAGATAGCATTGTCATACTGGTCTCCTTTCTCTGGGAACTTTCTTGTCTCAAGGCTTTCCTGTTTTGCTACTAATTTTATCATGAAAACTGGATGATTGTAGCTTTTCCTACAGTACTTTGATATATATTCTAGTTGTTTGCAGTTAATTATCTTAGTATTTGTCTACTGCATTTAGCAGAGTAAGATTATTTTTCTGTTCCAAGATACCTCTCAATGAGAATTTTTTTTTTTTTTTTTGCTTTATTTCGTTAGAGGGCAGTAGAGCTCTTTGCTTACCTAAGCTCTGGTATTTACAGTGTTATTTGAAGTAACATTCAAAATAATGTGTGAAATCAGTAGTTGTGGGAAATGCTAAGTGTTCACATTTCTAATCTGTATATAACAATAGAGTGCTCTTGTTTCCGTTAACAAAATTAATGCCTATTAATCAGATATGTACAGAACAAATAAATGAAATCATTATGATTTCATTGTTTGTTAATTTCTTTATGATTATTTGCCAAAATGCAATTTATTAAAAAGCCTTTAACACTATTGACATTTTTGTTACATTCTGTCACTTGTATTAATTTCTGTATGAGAAAAGAGAACAAAATAATCCCCAAGATAGTTGAATGACTCTAATAAGTTATATAGTGTAACTAGTTCCAGGCTAATCATAGACAGTTGAAATTTTTTTATTTATAGAGAATAGCAATTTTACACTTAACAAACATTGGTAATTTTGAATATTCAAAGCACTTTAACTTTGACTATTCTTAAAACGCTGAAATATTTAAATTTTACTGTAAAGCGTGCGTTATTGCATTTCCCCCAGTAACTGCATTTATGTCATGTTTTGTTAGTACAGTGGTTCTGAGTTTTTTTGGTACATCTTTTAAGAAAGAATCTTTGTGTTTCATTCTTTTCTTCTTTTGAAACAACTGGGATAAAAATCACCTTGAAAGGGAACTGTCATTTATCCTAATGTTAAGTTGGATTATGCTCAGGTTGCACATGGTACTTTATGGATGGGTAATTATGATTTCAGGTGAATTTAGGACTTTCAGTACCAATTTTTTGAGTTAGAGACCTTTATTCTTATCTCCAAAGTGGATGGCAAATTCTATTTAGAGTGAAGAAAAAGGAGGGAAAACCCTGTTTTAGTGCTTACTTTGTGCTAGGCATGATATCTCCTCCATTATTTAAACTACTTCTTTCAGGTGTGAAGTCTTATTATTATCCTTATTTTATAAAAAATGAAGAAATGGAAACACATACACATTAAATTATTCCCTCAGGTTATACAACTAAAAAACAGCAGAACTAGGATTTGAAACCAGACAATTTTACTTCAGAGCCCTATGCTTTATTCATTGCTAAGATACTGTATCTTTTTGCTTATTTAATAATTTAGTAGTTGATCCTGTAATATGTATATATGTTTGGGGATGCTGAAAGCTGTTCTTCTTTTTTTAATTAATTTACTTGAGAGAGAGAGAGAAGGAGGAGCAGAGGGAGAGGGAAAGAGAATCCCAGGCAGACTCCATGCTGAGCGTGGAGCCCGACAAGGGGCTCGATCCCAGGACCCTGAGATCATGACCGGAACGGAAACCTAGAGTTGGACACTTAACCCACCGTGCCACT